TCGTGACTTGTCCATTGAAAATGATACTGTTTAAACAAGGAACCAAAACGCGTTTTTATTTTACTGCCAATCACGACTTAAATAACGGTAACTCTTGACAACTCGTTATCTCCCTCGGTCTGGTGAGAAAAATAATTGCAACCTTAGCTGAACAAAGACAGCAATTGTTACTATAGCAACAAGGAAGAAGACAATTTTTTTGCATTATTTTATAACATCTGTTGTTGTCGAGATTAATTGTTTTCTAGGAGAAATATGTCCCTGGTAAAAGATATTTTTTTTTAAACTATTTGTGTTTCGTTCGTCTCTACGTTGGTTTTTTTTTTTCTTTGTTTTTTTTTTTTTTTTTTTTTTTTTTTGGAATGCTAATCTTGCACTTAATTTTTTCTTTTTAATTTGTAAATTTCTTTTTTCACTTTCTTCCAATGTATATCACTTTTTAAAATCACGTATGTATTTTAGTTTGAATCCGTGTTGGCACTGTTTATTTTGCTGAGTGTATTTTGTTTTCTTAACTGTCATTGTTTTCATCTGAATCACATTTCTGTCAGTTTTATCCTACTTTTTTGCAGTTTATAACGTTATTTTAAGTTCTTGACCACTGTTTTTTGTCTCATACTTTTTGTCACGTGCTATATTTTCTACATACCTATTTTTTTATTATAATACAAAAAAAAACTTTTTTTTTAAATTAACACTGATGTTATTTAGTTGCAAACTTACCATTTTCTATTTTTCATACATATGATGTAGTTTACCAGCTATTCTATTGTGCTAACTCTTTTAAAAATTACTTTAATAAGCCAACGAATTATTCTGCTCCGAGATCATTGTTTTAATAATTACTTTAAGAAGCAGATGAATTAATCAGCTCTGTATATTTCTCTTCAAGATTATACCGTATCTCATGTATCAATATAAAAAAAATGTCAGCTGTAATTCAATAAGATCATATGTTTACATAACTCTCCTGTTACCATAGCAATCAATATATATCTTGCAATATGCAACGTTGCGACAAAAAATAATTTAAAAAACAAATAAAAAACTTCGTTGTTATTTGAAATTGTGACATTTGATCATCCAATTCTGAAATAAAACTTTTATTTTGACTTAATATTTAATTTTTTGAACAAAATGATCAAAATATAATTCTTAACTATCGAGTATGTTTAAAAGAAAAATAATGTTAGCAAAACGTCTTAAACATTTAAAGACCGATTAGATTATAAAGTCTTGCTTAATAATTAAGCGTTATATATTACTAGTTTAAAAAGAGTGGGAAGAATCGCACAAAATAAATGTTATTTTGACCTAAATTAGAACACAATAATTTTTCAATCGTATTCCTTTTATTAAAAAAAATTAAGCCTTCTTTTTAGTTCAAATTTAGACAAATTGAAAGCTGAACTCAATTATTTAATATTTTAACAAATTAGAAACGGCGAGGAGTTGACATGCGTGTTAATTAGATCAGCCGCGGTAATTAGTCAAGCACTATGGGGCACCAGACGTGGGATTGTGAACAAAAACGTGACAGATACTGACAAACAAAAATTGAATTCGGAGACAATGTTTTGCGTGGGGTCAGAAATGCGATTCAATTTTTTGGACATGTCAGCAGAGTTGATAATTGGAAATTAATTAGCACCAAGGTACTATTGAAGCTAACAACTATATAATATTAAATAAATATAATTGGGACGTAGATATGTTTCTTTGCATACATTTAGAAATAATCCACAAAGAGTTAGAGATTTGAACAAGAAGGATATAACATTTTTATTATAATGCACGTTATAGGTTAAACGCTATTTTAGATACATTTTAAAATCAATAATTGAATTTTCCTCAGTCAATTTTTTGTTATCGATTTCGTAAAGTTTTGTTTTCATTGTTGTAGTCTATGTCACGCCAATGTTGTGAAGCTCACCAAAAGGTGTCACTCAAACAGTCCTCCCCCCCCCTCCCCCGAAGTAAGTCTACAGGCCCCCCCCCCCCCGTAAAGAAATAGAATTTATATAGAAAATATATATAGTGTCGGCCCCTTCCCCCCCTTCCCGGAAATTTTAGTCCACCCCCAAAAATGCCCTCCCCCCACCCCTTGGGAGAAAACATATCTGGGAGAAACACTGCTCAAGCTTCAGACAGAAGAAGTAGAGTTTATGTGTGTTAATTATTGTCTTTATGAAAAAAAGGCTCACTTCATATTGAAGGCTGATAAAAGGATCCATCACGCTATAGTACTCTAAATAGACAATTGTACTTTAATCATCGCTACAACTAACCTCAAACTTAATTAGTGTAGATTGTAACGTAAGGAATTTTCTGTCGTCATTTTTGTAGTGTGAGTTAAAAAAAAATAGAAACTTGAATTGTAATTGTAAGGTTTCTACACTAAGTTAATAAAACGAGACATTGCTCCCCTTTATCTAACAGAAGCCCAACTTTTAAATATGAACTCATACAAATTTTGACAATCCACACCACCCACCCACACTCCAACATAAGTCAGTACCAAAACGTACCACATACCTAATTATAAAATTAACAACATTAAAATATATTTTAGATCTGATACATTTTTTGCCTCGAATGAAGTAGAGTTCAAATATTTCTGTAACTAGGCCTAACGTGTGCTTTAGTTTGCATTAGTCGTGTTTACTGTTGATCAAACCTATGTGTACTGGGAAGATTTGGGGCTTTACCTCTTTACAGACCACACCGTACCTTGACTCACGCCCACTCCCCTCTTGTACACTTAAGTTTTAATGTGAGGGTCAAAATTGCCTAAATCTCATCATTACGCTATAATTAATCGAAATCTGTTCAAAATATTAGAGAACAATTAATATAAATTGATGTTTAACTTCAAATTTGACTTGAACTTGACTTCATGTTAGACCTCGTTCTTTAATTCAAGTTGAATTTAATTGAGCTTGAGTTTGAGAACATGTTTTACTTTCACTCTGATTTCAATGTTGAATTGAAGTTTGACTTTATATTGTGTATTTACTTGATGACTTAGACTTGACTTAAGCCTGGACGTAACTTCTGACTTAAAGTATGACGTCATTTTGACTTCATGTTCTGCTTAACGTGTGTCATAGCTGTGAATATCATGAGTACCTTGACTTAACGTTTAGCTTACCATTTGACTTAACAGTTGACTTAAAGCTTGACATAACACTTGAATTAATTTAACTTGACGGTTGACTTAATGTTTAACAACACCATCTCCCCAACCCGGCTCCAGTGTTTACCAAAGGCACGATCAGTCTCCAGAGTCACATTTCACATATCAACATCACATATCACACGTACATTAAACCCGCCCTTAATTGATTCGCACTGACGAACAACCCGTTGAAAGAATCAGAGCATGAACGCCGCCATTATCTTCAATTATTTTACATGGTTTCTACAAAAACAAAAACAAAACGATACAGCATTTTTTTTTTAAATTTGATTTTTGTAATATCGATTTCACAACAAAATTTAATGGACGTTAATGGTGGTAGAGGAATTAAAAAAAAAAAAAGATCTTGTATGGATTTGACATTAACGCATTGTCGTGTAACATCAAGTGACATTATGTAGTCATGGAAACCAGCTTAGTGTTGGTTTGTATATGTTTTTAGGAAAAGCTTTAGAGATTGTTTAGACCAGGGGTCTCCAAACTTTTCAGTCCGAGGGGCGCATTAACTACCTAATTTCAGTTTGGGGGCCAGTTTCTTCCCGGCATGTCTTTGATTTTTCTAGGCAAAGATCCTCAGCCACAACCAACAAACGTTTTTTCCGTGGACAAAAAGATCTCCGCGGGCCGGATAAGAGGACCCCGCGGGCCGCATCCGGCCCGCGGGCCGTAGTTTGGAGACCCCTGGTCTAGACCAAAGATAAACCAAGAATGGCATTTTTTTATTATATTTTTTTTTATAAATTTGTCTTCCAGACGGCTAACAATTAATGATACTCACTCTGCGAAAAACTTAGTAACATTTCATAAGAATGATTTCATAAGGCTGAGTATTATCAGGATAAGACGATGTGGCTAATACTGTGTTGACAACCCATCTACATACGTGCAGTGAGTACTATGTGTATGCTCACATATGCTTTAAGAAATGATCAATTGATAGATTCACATAGACAGGTGAATGTGTCGTTGCTGTTGCAGTTACATCTTCAAGTGTGGACCAAATACATACATACATACATATATATATATATATATATATATATATATATATATATATATATATATATATATATATATATATATATATATATATATATATATATATACATAAGACTGCCGACCTAGCTATGGTTGGTCAAGTAGGCCAAAGCCTAACTCATTTTTGACACAGTAACCGTTTTATAAAGGAGACCGCACAAGAGAACAAAGAAATATTGAATCATCAAATCTTATAAATAACCCATATGCCTAAGAAAAATATGTGTGGGCGTGTTATTTTTTTTTTTAACAGCTAAAATATCCTTCAGACATGTACATGTTTCATGTCGGTTTGATAAATCAATAGATTAAAACGAGCGAGAAATATCCAATCTAGTTTTTAATGAGATATAAGACGAAATAATAGCAAAAAAGACACTTGGAATGGGTGAAGTGTAGATTCAAAATATAAAGCTTTCGTAATCAGTACATTTAATAAGTAAAGCAGGCAGAAGTTTGAGCTGACGGTTGATATATGGTGCATGATTGGTTGACATGATATACTTCATAATACAAATAAAGATCAAAGAAGAATTACAATTAATGTAAACCATTTATTTAAGCTAATAATGTGGTTGCTTTTTTCGGATCAATAAAAATGAACGTAATATTTCAGACGTTTAAATCTAGCGGTAGGGAAATGTTGGAAATGTGTGTTGAACCAAATAGTAATTGTTTTGTATAAAAAATTCAAACCAGCAAGGAAGACAACTCATTATAAACAATGTAAGAATTATATTTAACATTATTACTTCCCTTTAATTGCATTTTCATATTTCATTGCACAATTCTAATAACATTGTCTAAGATTGTTATAGTTTAATTTAAAAACATGTGTTAAAAAAGTCATTTAAGGAACAATTTATAAAATAAATAAGCAAAACCAATCTACGAAGCTTATCAAGTAGGCTATTACTTTTAGGTGTTGTTAGCAAGTGGAGAAACTCTTGTAACTGCCTTTTAAGCAGTTGATCAAAATGTTTGAATCATTTGTTGAAAAGGTAAATGTAATTTGCCACTTAACTATTGTAAATCTGTATTAGTTCTTATAACTGCAATACTTAAGCGAACAAAGCAAACCGATGCTGTAAATTACATGTCTGAGGCAAAAACAAAACAAAAAATTATTGGTTACATTTAGTTACTGACAACTCAGGAGAAAGAGTATATTTGTTTTAAATTGTTTTTATTTATTTTTTTATTTACATGCATTGACAATATGTTTATTTATATATTGCCTAATTATTTTGCCTTCAATACACCAAAGAAGAGTGCCAGTATATACAGCTTTGAATTAATATAATAGTTTAAAGTAGGACTATATGTCCGACTTGTATCTAATAAGATATGTTCATGAGTTACAATATATCAAGAGACTCATCTTTTAAAAAAATTAAATTGTAATTATGCATTGATTAAATATACAATACATATTTTTAAAACATTATAAATATCTATATTTTATTTATATATGTACAGGTTATATTGGTAGTTTAAATACACATTCTTTCAAAAATTATAATTTTGAAAAAGATGTCTCATTACTTTTAAGCAATGATCGTAGCCTCCTAGAATGGTGTCACAAAATAGTGACCCTATATTTGAGAATGGTCGTATACTCCCTAAAATGTCGTAACAAGAACGTGACCCTACAAAATGACGTTACAAGATAGTGAATCTTCACAATGACATACAACATAGTGACCCCCATAAACTGGCACTACAAGAAAGTAATCCTACACATTGACACTGCAAGATACTGACTCAACAAAGTGATGTTAAAAGATAGTGACCTTACACAAAATCTTCACAAGATAGTGACCCTACACTTGAGGATGATCTTATACTCCATGAAACTACAAGATAGTGACCTTACACAATAACTTCATAAAAAGGTCACCCTACACAAAAACTTCACAAGATAGTGACCCTACACAAAATGTTACAAGATAGTGACCCTACACAAAATGTTACAAGATAGTGACCCTACACACAATGTTACAAGATAGTGACCCTACACACAATGTTACAAGATAGTGACCCTACACACAATGTTACAAGATAGTGACCCTACACACAATGTTACAAGATAGTGACCCTACACACAATGTTACAAGATAGTGACCCTACACACAATGTTACAAGATAGTGACCCTACACAAAATAGTGACCCTACACAAAATAGTGACCCTACACAAAATAGTGACCCTACACAAAATAGTGACCCTACACAAAAGTTACAAGGTAGTGACCCTACACTTGAGGATGATCTTATCGTCCTTGATGTAGTTCCTCTGCTGAATCATCTCGTGACTGACAAACTCCACCAGCCCCCAGCAGTCCCCTTCCTCCTCCCCCGAGCTGCACGGCCTGGCGAACTGGAACTGGTTACCTCCGGCTTTCAAAGACTTGTAGTTGTTCCCTGGGTGTGAGTAAAACACTTTTTATTTAGTTGTTCCCTGGGTGTAAAACACATTTTAATTTAGTTGTTCCCTGAGTGTTAGTGAAACATTAATGGTATGGTTATATTCAGAGGGGGGGGGGGGGCAAATCGAAAGTTTGTCCCCGGGCGCCGGGAAGGGTCGCTACGCCTCTGGTTATATTACTTATCATACTATTTTTGCGTACATGGTGCTACAATCACAATACACCACTATCCTCATAGATTGCTGTACCACAATGAATGCGAACTAGTCGACACATAAACATTAAACATTATGACGGTTGTTAGAGAACGTTAAATTAATGATGTTGCTTAATTCTTGATAACTACTCCAACCCTTGCCTTTTATATTTTGCTTAAATATTTTTATATTTTTATATTACTACGTCACAGATTCCCCCCCCCCCCCCCGTCTCTTTTTTTATTCCCCCTGTAAATAATATAAAATACTTACAAATTAAGACTAAGCATGTTGATATAAGTTGTTTGCGCAACGTTGAGCGAAGGACAAATAAACAAACTAAAGTACTAGTACAAAATAAAATACGTTTAAAAATAGCAACACAATAAATTGTATTGATACACTATTAAACCAGAGTTTCTTCCAGGCATCTCTTCGGGGGGGGGGCGGATCTATCGCCCACCCCTTTCCCAGAACGATATGGAATTTATATAGCAAATATATATTTTTAACAGTGTCCGCCCCCCCCCCCCCCGAACTTTTAGTCCGCCCCCCCCCCCCCCAAAAAAAAAATTTCAAGTGCCCCCTGGAGAAAAAAGTCTGGAAGAAACACTGTATTAAACTCATGAACAAACACTTCTAGAAAACTCTTTTTTATTACAAGCCTGACATATCAAAATCTATGTACCATATTTTTTTGAACTCCCTTAACCGGAAACTATGACTCTAGAGGAGGTACCCAACGTTGTATATAAGTACCACTTCCGTTTTCGATTCATGCAGAACTTATTCATTTCCTAGGAAGTTCACGGTGAAATCGTAACATCCGAACTAACGAGAACTATAAGTAATACAGCACACACTAAAATTCCCCATTAGAAGTGTTGCACTTGTTAATTTATGTCAATAGTTTCCGTGATTATTCTACCCTATCATAGCATGTGTTTTTGAACTTTGCATTAATAATAAAAAGAAGTTAATTAGTTTGGTTATAATTAGCAACATGATTTTTTTCTACACACGGTGTTTTTTAAGCGCCTATTGATGACATGGAAATATGTAATATGGGGTATGTGGAGAGTAATGAGTTTTTAGATTTTATTTTGAATCGGAGAAGGGGTGATTTAATTTCTTAAGACGTATGTGGGTTTAATGCAGAAAATTGTAATCTTGACATTATTATAGGATATTTAATTTTTTTTTAATAAACTGTTTTAGATAAGTTTAGAACTAAGAGCGGGTTCCCCCTATGGTGAATATTGATCATCCTATAACTACTTACTTGATTCACTAGTATTTATCAGCATATACAGGGGTAGGCAACCTTTTGAAGCGGAAGAGCCAAGAGTTACAATTTTCAAAATTTCCCTGGTTTTAAAGAGCCACTAACATTTTTTTTTTTATTTCAAATATTTTATTTTTTTATTAAGATTATTAGTATTTTTCAAGGAGCTGGAGAGCCGCATATTGATATCAAAAGAGCCGCATGCGGCTCGTGAGCCGCAGGTTGCCGACCCCTGGCATATAACTATCTTGGGTCACTAATATTTATCACCATAAAACTAGATGTTTAAATCATTAATAATTATCACTTCAAAACCTGCTAGACTCACTAATACATCTCATATAGATTCACTATTACGTGTCACATAACTAGCTCCTAGATTCAGGGGCGTAGCGAGGGGGGGGGGGGGCGGGGGGTGCGGACCGCACCGGGTGACACCATTTAGGGGGGTGACACCAAGGCAAAAAATAGCAGAATATATAGAGAAAAACTTGAGGGGGGGGGGTGCAAATAGAAAACTTGAGGGGGGGGGGGGGTGCACATCGAAACTTTGAAAGTTTGTCCGCGGTAAGGGTCGCTACGCATCTAGGGGGGGGGGGGTGACACCATTAAGTGCCGCACCGGGTGACACCCGAGCTCCCTACGCCACTGCCTAGATTCATCATTACTTCTCATAGAACTACCTTATAGATTCACTAATACTTATCTTAGAGCTACCTGTTTGCTGCACTTATACTTAGTACATAACTAAGATAACTTGATTATCTAATATCTTTCGCAGAATTACCTGCTTGATTCTCTATTACTTTTCATATAACCAACTACTTGATTTACTAATACCTTTCAATAGACTCACTAATACATTGCATATAACTACCTGACTACCTGCTAGATTCACTAAAACTGATCATACAACTACCTGCTTGATTCACTAAGATGACCACTAGATGAAGGTTGACTGGCCACTTCAGATGCCTGTCGTAGTCCCCCTTGATGACCCTCAGAAACACAGACATACACCTGTTTGTCGCCGTGCCATTACCGTTTAAATAACATTCCATTTGGGCCCTGAATGGGTAAAGAAAGGGGATATTTCAACAATACATTCTTTTCACATTTTAACTACTAGTTTTGCATTTAACGACCGCCTAAATCTGCAGACATGTATGGTGTCGACCTAAAATATACTACTACACTTCGCTGACGTTCGATTCTAATGAAATGTTACAGGTAAATGACTTAGACTCAGCGGCATTATATCTATAAGTAAATGAACTTTGTCTCTCTGCGTTGTTTCAGCTTAATGACACTATAATTACTTGCACTGTGATGTGCCCAAAGATGACCTAAGACTAACCAGCACTGTTAAAGAGGTCAACGGCCTTAGGGCAGAGGTCAACAGCCTTAGGTCAGAGGTCAACTGCCTTAGGTCAGAGGTCAACTGCCTTAGGTCAGAGGACAACGGCCTTAGGTCAGAGGTCAACTGCCTTAGGTCAGAGGTCAACTGCCTTAGGTCAGAGGTCAACTGCCTTAGGTCAGAGGTCAACGGCCTTAGGTCAGAGGTCAACTACCTTAGGTCAGAGGTCAACGACCTTGGGTCAGAGGTCAACTTCCTTAGGTCAGAGGTCAACGGCCTTAGGTCAGAGGTCAACGGCCTTAGGTCGTCTATCTCACTGCTACCTGTCAAAATCTACTCACTTGTATCCGCAATGCGACAGGTAAAAGGGACTAGAGAACTCCTTCCTCCCACTAATCCTCTCCTCCCTGAGCTTGGCGCGGTAATCTGAGATGGTCCAGGTGAAGGTCATCTCGATGACCTTGATGTCCGGCAGGAGCGTCGGCATCGCCTGGGGTACGGTGGGCCGGCCTGGGGTGGGGGGAACAAAGATGTGGTCTCAGTAAGATAAGGGGGTGCACAGAATGTGAGAGGAAATGTCATTAATCGCATGCTTCATAAACAAACCCGATAGCTATAGATATAAGTGTAGGTATATTTTTAAATGGACGATGTGGTCGAATTGTAGAGCGTTTGATTGCTAACCCGAATGACTCGAGTTCAGATCTCGGTTCGGGCTCGTGAATGCAGGACGTCCTTGAGTACACCCAGCTCTGATGAGTACCTGACTCACGTTAGGGAAACAAATTCGGGTGGGCAAATGGCGCATCTTAAGCTATCGATATCGTCATGGTAACAGATGGTAACAGAATGTAACAGAATGTGATAAAATGTAACATCATGTAAAAGATTGTAACAGAAAGTAATAGAATGAACCAGAATGTAACAGAATGTAGCAGATGGTAACAGAATGTAACAGAATGTAACAGAATGTAACAGAATGTAACTGAATGTAACAGAATGTAACAGAATGTAATAGAATTTAACAGATGGTGACAGGTGGTAACAGGAGGTAACAGAATGTAACAAATGACAGATGGTAATAGAATTTAACAGATGGTGACAGATGGTAACAGAATGTAACAAATGACAGATGGTAACAGAATGTAGCAAAATGTAACAGAATGTAACAGATGACACGTAACGTCATCTATAATCATAAATGTATGCAAAAAAAACTCCCCTTCCCTCTGGTACGAGGGGGAGTTCGAAACCAAATTTTTGTGTTACGCCTATGTTTGTTTTTTCCATATTATTATGCTATTATACCTGTTTCCAATTATACAAGGGTGTATATATTTATCTCCATTGATACAATTTTCGCAATGTAAAAATTAAAAATTCTTTTGAAACAAATTCTGCTTACAAATGTGCCTTCAACATATTTTGTAAACAATTCCCTGCAACTGGCCTTGAAAAATATGGATGACAGTTTGTGTCAGACCTCGCGTGATTTATTACTACCTGCGGTTTACCTGCTATAAACGTCATTTCCTTGTAGGGCGAATCCTTATCGTTTCTCTTGCAGGGGAGGGGAGGGCAGGCGGTGGGTGGGTACTCGGGGAGGGGTGGGGAACTGCATGACATCTGCTGCTCCTGGGCTTTGAGTCTTTCTTCTAAACTGTGGACCTGTGGGGTAGAGATCACGTGACATCATCAACAAACAGAACACAGCTTAGTTGTGAGGTGTGGAACGGTGTGGTTCAGGGCTAGAACACATGTGCGTGAAGTCGAAAGTTATGAGATTTGAATTCGGGATAGCAGGTCGTTTTTGTCTTGACAGAACTACACACATAAACCACATTTAAACCAGGTGGTGTATGGCACATGTAAACAAAGCATAATTATGTAGAAGTCGTCGGGTCTAACTGTGTGTGTGGGGGGGGGGGCAATATAGGTTAGATTATAGTTTAATTCTACTTCCTGTTGCAGTTTGCCGAGCAACGGAGCCTTGCTCAAGTCAAAAAATTAAAACAAAAATATGTTAAGTATTTTAAGTGGTAGGTGATGTAGAGGATACATATTTTTTTTTTATTCACGCGAAGATATTAAATCAGTGAAGAACGTAAGGAACTTAGTATTCATCTCTTGTTGAATAAAGCAGTCTTTTTTTTTACTTCACTCGACTTAGCTGCAAGAAAGATCCATCTACCCAGCATTGTTGACTTAAAACTCTCAACGCTTAAAATACCCAACTCACGCTTTTAAAATACACGACTCGGCTATTGAAATGCTTGACCGAATGGTAAAGCGTTTGGCTGCTAGCTCGAGGGTCTCAAGTTCGGATCTCGATTCGTACTTCTGACTCTAGTGCCGTCCTTAAGTCCACTCAGCTCTGATGGGTACCTGACTTAGGTTGGGGAAGTAAACACGGCTGGGTATAGTGATGACCACGTTATCTCTTTTGTGAGTCGAGGTAAAAAAAAATACATATAAACTCTTCTTAATCTGCCCGATGGAACTTTTGGTCTAAAAAAGAAATTTATTTTACTTACATTACGCTATTAAAAATTTCAAATTTTACATTTTGTTTTTAAATTTCAAGGTTTTGTTTTAACTGCGACCATGTTCTAAAAACCCAAAATTAGGATAGAAAAAAAGATAGAAAAGACATAGAAAAAGAATAGAAAAATGATAGAAAAAAAATAGAAAATGGATAGAAAAAGGACAGACAAGCGATAGAAAAAGGAGAGAAAAGGGATAGATAAATGATACAAAAGGATACAGAAGGATACAAAAAGGATAGAAAAAAACCAACGCACGCTGAGTTTAAGCTTGCTGTTCTCTTCTTTGAGCATGTTCATCTCACTGAACACCCCGGAGTCTTGGCCGCTCTTCCCCTGGGAGGCGTCAAGCACGGTCTGGAGGGTCTTCATGGGAAAGTGGAAGACTTTCAGGTTGGCGTAGAGCTGCTCCAGCTGGAGGTAGACGTGATCGGTGCTGCAGCGGTTCCCGGCCTGGAGAGGTTAGAGGATGTGTTCATTGTTAGGATCTCTGTTACTCTAATTAATTTGTCTATTAAGTGGTACGAGCTGACCCGCGACGTAGCATACGCAGCTATTTAGTTTAATTCCTATTTTGATAATTCATAATTTGTGAATTCGACTGAAAATATTTTGCTTTAAAACACTATCAGTAGCTAGTGAAGGTCGATTATCCTCACCCTCACTTTCCACTCTTCTTGAGTTTGTGTTTTCTTTGTGTTTGTAATTGAGTTTGTGTTTTCGTTTGTGTTTTTATGTGTTTGCGTGTGTGTTATGTTTGCGTTTTTTTTTTGTGTTTTTGTTTTGATTGGTTGTGATTAGGGTTAATTCCAGATTAATACTGATTACTAAACACACAAGTCCTGGTCCTTTACAGGTAGGTTTTTCACAGCTATTATATATATATATATATATATATATATATATATATATATATATATATATATATATCCCTTTTTTATTATAAAAATATATTATATTATAAGAAAACGGCGAGGGCTATAATTTCATTCATGTTCACGATAATCAGAGTGTCTACGGGCATGTGACAAGTAGTACACATTAGCCATTAACTACCTGAATACTAACACTTAAATAAAATGTTTACGGCTAGACTTACGTCCCCTGTTTTCATCATACGCCTGGGAAAGACTGGAGTTACCGCCCTGTCGGTATCGACGGATTTGTCTGCAGGGGGCAGCTGTTTTCTGAAGGACTGGAACTGTCGCTTCACGCATGGCTGAAAATGGCATGCCACTGCATAGGTCAATACAAAATAAATATATCATTCGTTTAGAGCACCTGTTACTCTGAATAAATTAAACACCTTTCTTTTAAAACATTTATTTTAAAAGTAATTATAGACATTAATTATCAGCTAATTATTGAGAACAAATTTAGGAGATTTTTAACAAGTGTTTTTTTTTAATATGTTAATAAAGAAAATTAACACCTAAATAAAAACTAGACTTTATAAAAAAAACGTGAAAGTGGATCATTAAGTTGCAATTAAAATGAACAAAATTAATCATCAAACATACGGATGTCTACCCACAAAACACCCTTCCGAATTTCATTTTAATATGCGCTAGCGGTGTAAAATGTTTCTGATCACATCTCTATGTCTAGCACAAGATACACCCACCCCTCAGGTTAGAAGCTCTAAATGAACCCTCTGTAATCAGCAAATCTACCCCCTCATCTAAATACAACTCCCTAGCACCTTATCCGCCTTTTAAGCAGTATATCTACACCCACCTCCCAGGCAGATAGGCACCTACATCCCTTCCCAGTACCCGACCAAATAACAGGGGCAATACCTCTGCATCCACCTACCTATCTATCATCTCACCTAGTCCTCTGATCATCACCTTAACCACCTCCCTACCCAACACCTCAACCACTTCCCTACCCAACACATCACCCACCTCCCCATCCAACACCTCACCCACCTCCCTATCCAACACCCCACTCACCTCCCTACCCAACACCTCAACCACCTCACACTCGGCTCTATCTACCACACCCACCTCCCTACCCAACACCTCACCCACCTCCATACCCAACACCTCACCAACACCCCTCCCCAACACCTTACCCACCTCCCTACCCAACACCTCACCACCTCCCTACCCAACACCTCACCACCTCCCTACCCAACACCTCACCCACCTCCCTACCCAACACCTCACCACCTCCCTACCCAACACCCCACCCACCTCCCTACCCAACACATCACCCACCTCCCCATCCAACACCTCACCAACACCCCTCCCCAACACCTCACCACCTCCCTACCCAACACCTCACCACCTCCCTATCCAACACCTTACACACCTCCCTCCCCAACACCTCTACATCCACCTCCCTACCCAACACCTCACATACCTCCCTACCCAACACCTCACCCACCCCCCTACTCAACACCTCTACACCCACCTCCCTATCCAGCAACTCCTTGATATGCCAACCATGCTGCTCCTGCATCTGTTTAATGGCTTCCTGTTCCTTCTTCAGACTCTCTATCGCCTCTAAGATGGCCATCCTCTGCTTCTCGTTAATGTCCAGTAGAACCTCGGTCTCTTCATCGTTTGAATTTTCCCCGGATGCATCACAGTACAACTCTTTGGGAACTAGAAATTGTAATTGTGGATACACATGTATACTAGGTGTTACGGGTTATTTTGGAGGATAGGTAAGAATGGGTTAGAATAGTCTAGAACTAAGGGGATGAATCGGATACACGTTAAGAAGAGAAAAAGAAAACATCGCAAAACATGCTATGGACTGGAATCCCCAGGGAAAAAATGAAAGTGGCCGGCCAAAGAAAACATGGAAAAGAACGGTTGAAGAAGAGGCGAAAACAGCTGGGCTCACATGGTCACAGATAAAGGTTGCAGCCCAAAACCGAGTTCGCTGGAAATGTGTAGTGCAGCCCTTTGCTCCCCAAGGGCCACAAAGGAATGATGATGATGATGATGATGAAGGGGATCGTGCGGGTGTGAGTTCTATTAGTGTCCCATTATCGGATACTTGAATAAAACCTGTGAATTAGGTAGGGAAAAAACTAGTTCGTACTGTTCCGGAATAATTTTGTTTTCCTAGAACAAACTATAGTCAGTAACTAGCCAATGAAATTTAAGTTTACAAACCACATTCGCCAGAATCCGTGGCATCCTCGTATGAAGGAGGACTGTGCAGGAACCGTTCAGTGCTTGTGTCGACGCTTCTCATTGGTTCGTTCATTTCATTGTAGATCTCCACAAGGGCCTGCGTAAACAAGTGTTTTTTACAAGCTTTTATTTAACTCACTTCCTCGTCATTCTGTCTGTCGTCAGTCTAGATAGAAACGCAGGAGTGAAAATTCGGACAGTTCTACTTGACCGATACGATTCACAGTTGGCACGTGGGTCAAGACATGAAGACAATGCAATCTGAAACTAAATTTGACTTAATTGGATGCCTAATTGATTTTTTATGAATTAATTAAAATTTGGACCGAATTAGTAGGCATGTCTAGCCAACCACACCACACGCGTCATCAATAGCTGCGCCATCACGACCACGTAATGGCTGCGTTCAAAAACCATTGCGCGCCTACTGAACGTGATATTCAGTAGGCGCGCAATGGTTTTTAGTCATGTAACTCTATTGTAGATAAAACATGTAAAGTACTGAAAAAAAAATTCATAAAAAAAACGTTTTAATAACAAGCTTTTATGTAATGATGCACTAAAAAGTAGAAAATAAATTATAGACTACTATTTAAATAACTATAAAGAAAAGCGTGGGTGTCTTCCTTAACATTAGTAAAGGTATCCAATAGATACTAAAGTGACCCACGCTTTTCTTTATAGTTATTTAAATAGTAGTCTATAATTTATTTTCTACTTTTTAGTGCATCATTACATAAAAGCTTGTTATTAAAACGTTTTTTATGAATTTTTTACAAGCTTTTATTTAACTCACTTCCTCGTCATTCTGTCTGTCGTCAGTCTAGACAGAAACGCAGGAGTGAAAATTCGGACAGTTCTACTTGACCGACACGATTCACAGTTGGCACGTGGGTCAAGACATGAAGACAATGCAATCTGAAACTAAATTTGACTTAATTGGATGCCTAATTGATTTTTTATGAATTAATTAAAATTTGGACCGAATTAGTAGGCATGTCTAGCCAACCACACCACACGCGTCATCAATAGCTGCGCCATCACGACCACGTAATGGCTGCGTTCAAAAACCATTGCGCGCCTACTGAACGTGATATTCAGTAGGCGCGCAATGGTTTTTAGTCATGTAACTCTATTGTAGATAAAACATGTAAAGTACTGAAAAAAAAATTCATAAAAAAACGTTTTAATAACAAGCTTTTATGTAATGATGCACTAAAAAGTAGAAAATAAATTATAGACTACTATTTAAATAACTATAAAGAAAAGCGTGGGTGTCTTCCTTAACATTAGTAAAGGTATCCAATAGATACTAAAGTGACCCACGCTTTTCTTTATAGTTATTTAAATAGTAGTCTATAATTTATTTTCTACTTTTTAGTGCATCATTACATAAAAGCTTGTTATTAAAACGTTTTTTTTATGAATTTTTTTTATTAATGACGACAGGGCAATATGATGTGGTATCGTGTGTGGTTCTCTACCGGTATCGCTTCTATGTTATGTTTGAAATGTGGGTCATCCGTGTATGATGTTAAAGCTATTTTTACTATGTCAACACCCCCACCCCTTTTCCCCTTTTAGTTAAGACAAATGCTTTTCAATTGTGAAATATCTACTGACATTGGTCGATGTTGAGTATATCTATCTGTTTGTATTACAATTAACAAGAGTTGTTAAAAATAAATTGAAAAGCGTGTCGTCACTATATCACTTCCCTCCACCTCCCCCCCCCCCCCCATCAGTGTTTCTTCCACACTTTTTTCTCTGGGGGGGGGGGGGGGGACACTGGAAAATGTATGTTTTCTATATAAAATCCATTTCGTTCAGGGGGACGGTAGCTTAATCAGTGGGGAGCGGGGCGGAGATGCCTGGAAAAAACTCTGCCCCCCCCCCCCCCCGCACCCTCGAAGGAGTGCGACGACCTTTAAAGCTACTTTGAGGATTAAGGTTAGGACCAGGTCTACGTCCCTGCTTTTTTTTATTAATCCAATGCTAATTTTAAGTAGTAATTTAAGATAATGCTTTGGGTAAAAGCAAAAATTAGACTACACAGACTCTTGTTCAATCACTGATTCAGGATTAAGCCGAAATATAAGAAAAAAGTGTTTCTTTCAGACTTAATTTCTCTAGGGGGGCTAAATTTTCTATGTAAATTATAATTCCTTCAGAAAGCAGTAGACGTTTTTCGAGGGGGCCAGTGTGTGTGTGTGGGGGGGGGGGGGGGTGTCTCAGCCAGCCCCGAAGAGATGTCTGGAGGAAACTTTGTAGGAAAATTGTATCAGTGATGCCGTTAACTCCGATACCCCGTCCCGGCACATTAAGCGCACCATATACGCTCAAATCTAAACAAGGAAGTAACTGTTGCGAAATTGTAAATGTGTAGCTTAGCCATACACTAGAATACCCAGGCGTTGGAAGGTGTATACGGTTATATACGGAGATCTATCTTGACCTTGTGTCTTATAATCACACCACTAGAAGGAAATGTGGTTATCTGTCAATAGCGATATCTTTTATTAGTGTACGTACATTGTTGTTGGCAGAAGGGGTCAAGAGATAGTGTGCCAATATTTATGATAAATTTAGTTACGGTAATAAACAGTTTAAATGTGTATGTAGAGCTTATTGTAAAGATTTACGGTAAACTGTAAACATAAATAAAATACTGATACGAGGGTAGTCCATAAATGATGTATTGTGCATGGGTTGCTGGCGGGGGGGGGGGTTGATCTAGACGATCGAGGGAATGGGAAAATAAAAATGTTTATCGCCATTGCATTAATGTTGTTATGGATTTTTATACTAAAGTTTGGAAGTTTATTTTATTTATTTTTTTGCATTTAAAATAAGACTTGGTAAAAACACGTGATTTCGACCCATTTTTCTTTTAAAATGTGGCCTAGATGTAGAGCACTGGCTTGGCAACCCGAAATTCTCTAGTTCAAATCCGGGTTAAGACAGTGGAACGTGCCAGAGCCCACCCAGCCCTGGTGGGTACCCAAATCACGATAGGGAAAAGAAAGGCGGCTGGGCATAGTGCTGACAACATTATACCTTCATATGCCGAATCAAGGAACATATGAACTCAAGTTTTCTGCCAAATTGATCCCTAACTAGGACTAAAGATTACTATTCCTTTTTTTTTTCAAATGTTTTTGAAATAAATTTACGTTTTAAAAATAATCGCAACTTAAATAACGTATTCTCTGAGGTATGTCTTTGCCGTCATTTAGTTGGCAAGTCTGACATAAAAAAAAACTGGCAAAAATGCTTTTTATGACTGACTCCAATGCAATAAAATCAAGGCCCTCCAATAGTATTTACTAACACTCGTATAACTATTTGTTCAACAGTAATAATACAGTCACTCAAAATAGTGTACAAGTTATAAATAAAGTTATAACCTTCAGTAACACGGATGTGTCTGAAGTATTTTGAACGTAATTCACGTATTCAGAGATTTGCTATTTACAAGTCAGATAAATCACTCGAGCGGAACGATATCCTACATTGGTATCGATGTTAGATATTTTCTCAACGATTACACATTTTATTACTTACTCTGAGAAAATTCGAAAATAGGGTTATGGTTTAAAAAACAGAACAAAGGTTGGAGCTGTTACTAGTTAAAAGGGTTATAGTCAGGTATCGGTAACGAATATGTTAACTAGCGATACCGCTGGGGAGATACGAATCCGCCCACCTGGCGTTCAAACAGGAAGTTATCTATGCAGGTGGTGGCCTTACCGTATGATCTGTGTCTTGGCCATCGGATGCCATCATCTGTCTCTGTAGTGTTCAGGGCTGACCTGTGGAGCAGATACTACACGCATTACATCCTGTAACATTGGCTACATAGTAGGTCTTTGTGTATAGAGAGTCAGTGGCGTGTCTGATGGGAGTTAGGGCGTTTATTACAGCACATATGTCCGCAGGCGCCGACCTTAGGGGCGCCAAAATGGGTTGGAGAAACAAATCGAAAGTTCGAGGGGGTGCAAATCGAAAGTTTGAGGGGGGGGGGGGGTGGGGTGCAAATCGAAAGTTCGAGGGGAGGGGGTGCAAAACGAAAGTTTGTCCCCGGGCGCCGGGAAGGGTCGCTACGCCTCTGCACCCCTCCCTTTTTTGTAGTTGGTGACTATCTCCCTTCTCAACCTCCCCCCCCCCCTCCCCACGGTAAAAGCTTTGAAGTGTTTTATCCATAGTTTGCATGTTTACGAAATGGTGTCAACCCCCTCTCCCTCACCTCTTGTCGGGATAGACAATACGTACTTAAAATACTTTTTAACTAATTATCCATCCAAAGAACTGGCAGAAAGCATATTCTATATATCCTGCAATGTTTGTTTCTTGGTGTTAACCCCCGCCCTCCCTAAATGGTGTCACCCGGTGCCGCCCCCCCCCCCCCCCCTCCTCGAAACGCCTCTGCTGAAAAATATAAAAAGTCTGCCACTGTCACAAATGTGTGAGGGGTGAACGTCGGTTGTATTTGTATATGTGTGTGTGTCTGTTGATGTGTATATAAGTGGTAGTCGGTGGTTGTGCGTGTCTGTTAAAGGGTACAACTATCTGTGATATGTGTGTTTCAATGTGGTTTTGTGTTACTATTTTAGATGTTAATGAGAGTATGGTTGTTTCATGTTGCAGTTTATGGATGAAGTTGTTTGTATGTTTGAGAACTGCGCTGTGCATGAGCGATATCGTGTGTGGCTGTGTGTGTGTCTGTGTGTTTGTGTGTGTGTGTGTGTGGTTGTGTGTCTGTATAGATGTGTTAGTTTGTAAGAGCGCCCTAGTCTCAATAGAGGAGACGGTTATTTAATGGCTTTCTTTGTGCTGACTGTAAAACTTGTAAAAAAAAAAAAAAAATTCGCCAAGGAAGAAAATCCGTGTTACAAGCGATAAACAACAAACGGAAAAATCCGATCTTTCAAAACTACACACAGATAATGTCTCACTAACATTACACTCAGTGTCTTTCTATCGAGCTATAGGGTTTTCCCAAAAGCTATTATTGAATAAGATATCAATATGAGTTAAAATTCTTATCATGTTTTGATGTGGTATAAGGGCAGATAATAGCATTATTAAGTGGAGAAATATATCTTTGACAAATGTATTTGACAGCTCAAACCTTGATAACTGTTGTATGATTTTTGTTTTCCTGCTGTAATGTTTGATATAATGGGACCGCTTGGCCGAGCGGTTGAGAGATACACTGCTAACCCGAGAGTCTCGAGTTCGAATCCGGGTTCAAATTTTTGGAACGTCCATAAATCCACCCAGCTCTGACCACACTATCCCTCTTCATATGCCGAGGTCGCTGAAACAAATTAACTCTACTTCATCTACCCATGCATCTTGGGCACGAACGGGGAGAGATGATGATTGTATGATATTCATGATGGTAAGTATGAAAATGACTAGTTAAATTGCAGGATTTATTAAATGCACAAACTATCAGCCTAGTTCTAGTGAGTCCATCTAAAATATAGCTCCGTATTGCACCATAGCCTAAAAGACCATCGGATCTTTGCGCATTTGGAAATCTAAACGCAAAACCTGGGCCCTAAATTGAGAAGGGCCCGATGTTGCACATGTATCAAGCCTCATCTCTCCACACAGCTGATGGACATAAGGGACTAGCCGTTACCTGTACAGCTTGAAATCAGCATATATATATATATATATATATATATATATATATATATATATATATATATATATATATATATATATGTATATATATGTATATGTATATATATATATATATATGTATATATATATATGGGAGAGATGTGTTTGCATATATATATATATATATATATATATATATATATATATATATATATATATATATATATATATATATATATATATATTTATATATTTATTTATTTATTTATTTATTTATTTTTATTTATTTATTTATACTGATGTCAAATAACTACCTTATAAAAGGAAAAACTTAAGAGTTCAATGGGCCAGAGAAAAAAAAATTAGGACACGATTAAATCAATCTTTAATTTTCTACCATTGCCCCACCGTTGTCAAATTGACTGAATCATGTAAATGAGTGTCATCACAAACACACATTTTTATTTCGTACATAAATCACGCTAAATATCTTTACCGATTCGAACCTAAAACCTAGGTGTTACACATATTTTATTCTACCAGCATACGCTCTGCTACCCACAATATTCTTTTACACCATTTCCATTCACTTTCTAATTCATCTAATTCTCTAAATCGTTACGCAAAAATGTCTCCATAACGGACTTGTATATTCCCACATACCAAGTATTTTTATATTCAGACCTTTAATACTTTCTCGTTTTTTCGCTGTACACTGCTATATAAGAAAATCTTAGGTTCCTTTATGTGATTTCCTATTGCCTCCACGCCCCACCGACTCCTAGATTCACCCGCCCGAATTAGAACGTACGCTGTGTAGCTCTTCATGCATGAAATGCTAGATCGCTGGCAGAGATGTATGAATAATTAAAATAAACGCGCTTTAGATATGCGCAGAAATAAACATGTTTAATACCTTACGTTCTCGTAGACTTTTCCAAATAAGGTGATGTTGTGTTGTTGCTTGTGACATTATGAGGGTTTGGATATATGTTTAGGGCTTGAATTGGGTTTGAAAGAAAGTGTAAGCGAAAAATGGCGGAGTATGTGTGTGTGTGTGTGTGTGTGTGTGTTAGGGGAGGAGGGTATTCCAACTACTAGTGTCCATTCAATGGACTGTTTCATAAACAGCATGGTTTCGTTTAATAATATTTTTGCAATAGCATGTTCAAGTTCAAGTCAGTCGACCGTCCCTGAGTCCCTGAGTCCACCCAGCTCTGATTGGTACCTAACTCCTGTTAGGGAAAGTAAAGGCGGCTAACCACACTGTCCCTTTATATGCCGAGGTCACAGAAACAGGTGACCTCTACTTCTGAATTGATCTACATGTTCATATGTGAACCTATCTATATGTATTTGTGTGTGGTGAACTATGTTTTTATCTTTGAAGTTATCTAAGAGTATCTATTATGTGAGACACCCTATGTATATATCTATGTGTTGACATGTAAATATGAGCTATGTATGTATCCGTGAAATGACATTGGCCACTCTTTGAATATATATGTTAATGCATATCGGTAAAAGTGAACAATGTATGTATCTGTGAAATACATATGTGTCTTATCTGTGAAATGGCATATATCTTTCTTTGAAATGACATGTGTCTATCTGTGAAATGACGTGTCTATTTGTGAAATGTCAAGTGTATATCTTTGAAATGACGTGTATTCATGTGTGAAATAACATGTGTCTATCTGTGAAATGATATACTGTGTGTCTATTTCTGACATATCTGCTGTAATAGAAAACAATCAATAAAACGAATTGCTTATTAGCTTAGATTAAAATATATATCAGCTAAAACAAAATCAATCACGTGGTTTTGAATAGGTCAAGGACAGAAGGAACTGCCTGGGCATTATTAGTGTTATATTTTTTTGGGTCTCTTGTAACTGTCAGGATTAAGATTAGGATTAGCAGTGTTGGTGTTTTAATTAAGTTTAGAACGAAGTCGAATCGTGAATGCAGTGACACCTACGTGTTTGTATTAAGGGCGACGGGTTGATTTAAATAGGGATTAACTACATACCACAAAAACAATAGATAAGGCTGTTACAGTATACATTGAAATATATACTTCATCAGTTTATAAGAAAAATAACTACAATGCTAAATCATTTATAAGATAAGTTAACTATATTGCAACAGCATACTAAAATAATAAAACAGATTGATATAATATAATATATAATTGCTAATATAAATTATATTACTACAGCAAACTGTAAGAGAATAAATGAAACTGCTTTACAGCATATAGTAAGCATGAGCTAGGTCACTACAGCTTACTGCAAGTATAAATTAGAATACTACAGCATATTGTGTGAATTAACTAGAATGTTTACAGCACATTACTTTAAAAAAAGAAATATAATACTCCATCATACTACAAGAAAAACAAATACAATGCTTACAACATACTATAAAAAACTAGCATGCTTACAGCATACTATAAGAAAAACAAACTAGAATGCTTACAGCATACTATAAGAAAAAGAAACTAGAATGCTTACAGCATACTATAAGAAAAAGAAACTAGAATGATTACAGCATAATATAAAAAAAGAATGCTTACAGTACAGTATACTGTGAGAAAAATAAACTAGAATACTTAGAGCATACTATAAGAAAAACAAACTAGAATACTTATAGCATACTATAAGAAAAACAAACTTGAATGCTTACAGCATACTATAAGAAAAACAAACTTGAATGCTTACAGCATACTATAAGAAAAACAAACTTGAATACTTATAGCATACTATAAGAAAAACAAACTAGAATGCTTACAACATACTATAAGAAAAACAAGCTAGAATACGCATAGCATACTAGGCCTATAAGAAAAACAAACTAGACTGCTTACAACATACTATAAGAAAAACAAGCTAGAATACGCATTGCATACTAGGCCTATGAGAAAAACAAACTAGTATACTTATAGCATACTATAAAATAAACAAACTAGAATACTTATAACATACTATAAGAAAAACAAACTAGACTACTTACAACATACTGTAAGAAAAACAAACTAGCTACAGACCTGTTTATATGAATGTACACTACAGACCGGCGTCACCCAACCCTCTACACAGCCATGTATGATATAAAGATATAAATATCTCCTACATAAACCCTAGGCTGGGAAAATTCTATTTGTCCGCGCGAGATTGTTGAAAAATCGTGATCCCTACGCTACTAGGAAGTAATTTGTCACCATGCTGGGGAGGCGTAGCAAGGTTTCCTGGCGCCTATGTAATATCGTATTGATTAGGTTAGACCTGGTTCAAGGTTTTAGAGAATGATAAGTTAATCACTGATTTTGTTATATTGATTAATGTGTATTGTATATGTAGTGTGTGTTCAATGGTAGAATAATGAAGTTATATCAGTCAATATGCATGGGATATGCTTGTGTGCTTAGTGAGGATATGGTGTATGATTCTACCTAAATAAGATATTTATGGGTTCAGTCTTGGGATTATCCTGTTGTATGACTCATCTTGAATGGAATATGGAGTTTTTAAGCGGTAGATTAATCATATTGGATCTCTAAAAATGGATTAAGTCCCTGTCAATGCGTACTCTCTTCTCAAATGTTCAACCAATGCAACACATGTCATACCCACTTCCAAAGAATCATCAATCCCTAACACATTCCCCAATAACAATGCATCATCTATCCCTAACACATTCCCCACTCCCAACACATTATCCACACCGAACACATTCTCTACTCCCAAAACATTATAATTCCCTAACACGTCCCCCACTAACAACACATCATCAATCCCTAACTCATTCCCTCACCAAACACATCATCAATCCCTAACACATCACAACTAACACCACATCATCAATCCCTAACACATTCCCCACTAATAACAAATCATCAATCCCTAACTCATTCCCTCACCAAACACATCATCAATCCCTAACACATCACCACTAACAACACATCTGTCCAGCACACAACTCGTTCTAACATTCACACCCTAATATACACCCTACCCAACCACATGATATGTGCATATTCTGATAAATACTCCACCATAATACAAACACATTCAAATATACATAACCCCCACACCATACATACACACCCCCAACATAAAAACACCCAAAACATCTCCTAACTCATCCCATACTCCAACCCATACCGCCGACCCAACTAACCAGACACTCAGATACCCCCCCCCCCCAAAAAAAAAAAAACCATACACACCCTCACACCTGACACCCAACTACCACTCAGTGACGTCGCTAGGTCGGGTGTCACCCGGTGCGGCACCTCATGGTGTACCCCCCTTTTTTGTCTCTGTACATTTTGCAGTTAGTGTCATCCCGCCCCTCCCGGTAAAAGCTTTAAATTGTTCACATTTAATACTAACGATGTTTATCTATAGTTGGTTTGTTAATACAGTTTGAAGTAGCATTGTTTTCTCTATACTTTGCATGTGTGTCCCCACCCCTCCCTTGTCGGGATCGTAAATACTTTTTAACTCGAACTAATCATTTATTGAAATGGCAAAAAATACATATTTTTTCTATATATCTTGCAATTTTTTTTTTTGCCATGGTGTCACCCCCCCCCCCTAAATGGTGTCACCCGGTGCAGTCCGCAACCCCCGCTCTCGCCTCGCTACGCCTCTGCTACCACCACACACAACACCCCTCCACCTAACACACCCCGACATACACCATGCACACCCCACGCCAAAAACAAACACACTCGGCATATACCCAAAACTTACATGCACCCACATCTCCAACACACACAAACCACACCAGCACACACAATACACACACACACACATCTACATTAAAAACAATTTAAATTATATCATCACACTCACACACTCACACACTCACACACTCACACACTCACACACTCACACACTCACACACTCACACACTCACACACTCACACACTCACACACTCACACACTCACACACTCACACACTCACACACTCACACACTCACACACTCACACACTCACACACTCACACACTCACACACTCACACACTCACACACTCACACACTCACACACTCACACACTCACACACTCACACACTCACACACTCACACACTCACACACTCACACACTCACACACTCACACACTCACACACTCACACACTCACACACTCACACACTCACACACTCACACACTCACACACACACACACCAATCTGCTATCAGCTTTCTGCACATGCACAGGCTATTGTTGTTCCTGCTTTGCTGACGTCTTGTGCTTCCCATCGGTCAAAACGTTGACGCAGACACGACAACACAAGTGGTTCTACTTCAACACGTCATGGTAGACTGGTGGTGTTGAGGTGGTGTTGGGGGGGGGGGGTGATGCTTAAGTGTAACAGATCCAGTTTCTGAGCATGCTGTTTGAAATTGGCGGGGCAGGGAGGGTGGTGGCGTGGTACGTGAGTGTACAGGGGGGTTGGTATTTGAGTTGGACAAACCCAGTTTCTGACCATGCTGTTTGAAATGGGCGGGGCAGAGGGAGGAGGCGTGGTACTTGAGTTGAACAGAAACAATTCCTGACCACGGTGTTTTAAAAAAGGGGCGGAGCATGGGAGGGCGTGTCACAAGCATATTAACAGACCCAGTTTTAAAACATCGGTGTTTTAAATTTTTGGGGCAGACCCAACAGGGGATGGAGGCGTGGCTAAGTATGCATGACCCAGTTTCTGTACGTGAAGTTGGGCTGGGGGGGGGGGGGGGGTACTTGAGAATAATAGACCCAGTTTCTGACCGGACTGTTTTAAATAGATGGGGCAGAGGGGTCGAAATAGGGGGGGAGGGGGGGGGGGGGTGACTTAAGTGTCATAGACCCAAAGTCTGACCGCAGTGTTATAATTAATGTGTTTCAGGAATGTAGAGGCTTAATGTAAAGGGCGTATAAATTGTAGAATGTATATAGGTCTAGTCAGAGGCGAAGCGAGGGGGGGGGTGCGGACCGCACCGGGTGACACCATTTAGGGGGGTGACACCCAGGCAAAAAATAGCACAATATATAGTGAAAAACTTGAGGGGGTGCAAATCGAAAGTTTGAGGGGGGGTGCAAATCGAAAATTTGAAAGTTTGTCCCCGGGAAGTGTCGCTACGCCTCTGGGTGGTGACACCTTTGAGTGCGGCACCGGGTGACACCCGACCTCGCTACGCCACTGGGTCTAGTATAATTTGTGACATGGCTCGTGTATTAAAGAAATTATTTATTTTGCAAGCTTTAAGTTCCATGCATTTAAAGAAACCATGCAGTTAAGATTTGTGTTATATAAATGCTTTATGTATATTTTAGTAACGCATTAAAATGATGTTTGGTTATACATTCTGTGTTTAAAAGTAAAAGTTTCCATATATATATATATATATATATATATATATATATATATATATATATATATATATATATATTTCTGTGACCTAGACATATGAAAGGATAGTGTGGTCAGCACTATGCCCATCCCACTTAACTTTCTCTAACGTAAGTTGTGTACTCATCAAAGCTGAATTAACTCGAGACTTGATGATTAGCAAACTTGCGATTTATATATTTCCAGCATATTAAAAAGCAATGAACACAAAAAGCTTGACATTTCTATCATGGGATGTAAACATGCTTTGATCCAAATATGTAGCAGCCCCGTACACTTTTTTAAAAAAATATGTTTGAATGATCTCTTCAGGGGCGTCGCGACGCGGGGATGGGAGGGGGTGCGGACCGCACCGGGTGACACCCTACCTAGCGACGCCACTGGATCTATGCTGTGCTCCTCCAGTTTCAATTGAGTCAAAGATCTAGCAGTGATTGCTATCTTCAAGTGGTTGTTTATTTTATTTTTAATCTTAAGCCTACATGCGGTTATGATGATTCACTGGGCGTGGGTTCACTGAATCATACGATGCTCTCAGCCGTCACCTTCAAACTAAGTGAAACAACTCGTTAGATCCCCTGCGGTTTGATTTTAATTGTAGTCCCTTGTAAATTAGTGAGTACAATGCAATTTAAACCAGGAGTGAGCGTACATGCACACATGCACGCACACACACACTGTATATATATATATATATATATATATATATAGAGAGAGAGAGAGAGAGAGAGAGAGAGAGAGAAAGAGAGAGAGAGAGAGAGGGAGGGAGAGAGAGAGGGGGGGGAGAAAGAGGGCGAGAATGTAGTAATCCGAATGTAGGCGTCATGGTGCTTATGTGGTGGGGGGGGGGGGGTCGGGGCGCTACGGAACACAGGAACGGCAGGGCTCCCTAGTACTCCGCGGGTATATTTTAGCCGTTGATTCAGTTAGTACAAAAGCCCCCCCCCCCCCTATGCTAGACGCCTCATCAACATACCCCATGTGCTATAAGTTATCTGTGAGAGGACTCTTAGCTCCAAAGCGCCGAGGTGCTTCCTCTTCAGTATATTAAACTAATAAATAGTTATGGCATTAATTTTTTTTTTTGCATGGTACTTTTGTACTTTTACTTTAATCGGATTATTGGCGTAATAATGCATAATGTGATACGGCAGATGCTAGAGTGAAATCCCCCCCCCCCCCAGGGAAAGCAAATGAGAGGGCGCCCAAGACAGACCTGGAGGTGGAGTCTTCTTGACGAACTGAAGACAGCATGGATGTGTTGAAAGGTTGCAATAGTAATAACCCAAGACGGGACAAATTGGAAGCTTATGGTTGAGGCCCTATGTTCTATAAAGAGAAAAGAGGACTAATTCAAGTGAAGTCAATGCATACACAATATGACTCCGTAGTCTACTAAACATAGAGAACGGAGTGGTCTAGCGGTAGAGAGCTTGACTGCTAATCCGTAAGTTCGAGTTCGAATAAGGGTTCAAGTCAGTAGACCGTCACTGAGGCCACACAATTCACGTTAGTGGAAGTACAGGCGACACTGCATAGTGATGACCACATCTCTTTATATACCACGGTCACAAACAAATGAACTCTACTTCACTTGCCCTATAGACCGTTAGGTTTGAAAGGGAAGGCTACTTTTTCACTGTCAACTAGACCATTGAATGATTCCACATAGTAAGATGAGAAGAGCCAGAAGTTACCCCACCCCCACCCCTTCTCTTCACACAACTGATGGGCCCAAGGGACAGGCACTAACATAAACATCACCATAAAGAGAGATCACCCAAGCTTCACCAAACGGAGTTACCTCGCTATGTAGAGTGTTAGCAATATTTCCATAGACGACATTGAAAAGATCAGGTTACATACAAACGTGAAGGCACAGTTCACTGAACATGTCGACCTTTAGCACATGACGCACACAACTATCGGAGTTTTGTTCTTTGGATTCAGGAAAACCGATCTTGGTTTGACAGAAGCCACACCCACTTAACCAATAGACATATTGAATTGTTACCAGCGGCGTAGCGACCCATTCTGTCGCCCTGGGTAAACTTTCCATTTTGCGCCCCCCTCCCCCCCCCCCAATTTATATATATATATATATATATATATATATATATATATATATATATATATTATATATATATATATATATATATATATATATATATATATATATATATATATATATATATATATATATATATATATATATATATAGGACAAACATTGGTTAAAATATATTTTTTTATTATAATTTTTTTTTTGTCCAAGGTAGGAATGTGGTAGTATGTGTGAGTGGAAGGGGGGGGGGTATAATACCCTTCCCCGCCCACGAAGCCATGCCGGAAAGAAATTCTGCCCCGAATGTTTTAAAGGATTGATGTTGAAGCAGAAAATTCATGACTCAACTGTTCATTTGAGATAGTGAAAGTCCGCCGTTTAGAGAAAACCCCGATTTGCAGTTGGCAAAAGTTAGCAAATACTGATTCAACTGTGACACTCCAGGTTAATCTGTGTGGGATAACGGCTGCTAATATTAGTTTGATGTAAATAGTAGAGTAGATGTAGGATGAGGTTGCGGATTGCGTGTGCGGATTGCGGTCCGCTACAAACGACTCCCGACAGTAGTAGCGTCACGATTCTGAAGCCGGGTGAGGTTGCGGGTTGCGGGTTGCGATCCACTACAAGCGACACCCGAGCTAGCGATGCCACTGATCAACACACCATCAAATACCAATGTTGGTGTGTGAACTCTATTTTGCACGAGAACCTTATAAAATAGCTTTTTATTTTACGCAACGATTGCGGATTAATAACCACAGTTCGGCAGATCAAAAGAAAGACTTGGCGGACACATTGTCAGTGAAACATGAACTGATAGAATTCCCCTCTAACGTTGGCTATGTCTTGCTGTATGAAAAGCACGCAGACTAGTATTTCGTCTTCTGGAATGAAAAAAAAAATTTGCCCCGGGTGAGGATCGAACTCACGACCTTCAGATGGCTCTACGGCTTTGATTATGAGACTGACGTGCTACCTACTGCGCTACCGAGCCTTCCGTCAACTCTCATGTATATTGCTAATTTGAAACACGTTTGTAATTCACTAATCTACAATACTAATAGGCAGTTGCTATCGGAGTCAAAATAAAAGCACATGGGCCTAATTCTTTTAATAATGTAATGGTGAAGTATACATTTGTTACCGTTGGGATGAAATTTAAATATTAAAATATAAACCTAAGTCTGCTAATAAAGTACAAATTAGGTTGCCTTACCATTCATGTAAAAAGTCATTAGGAATATGATACCATACATAAGTCGCATTTGTCTGTTAAGCACATATTACATAATACCGAGCAGGGTTTCTTTAATAAATGTATCTACGCAGGGGTTGGGTTAGGGGTGGGAGTAGCCTTTAGAAAATATTGGAGGAGGGGGGGGGGTGGCGGGTGGGAGATGGGGGGTTGGGATTATTCCTTCCTAGAAACAATCACTGTTATCGATATCTTTTTTTATCTGCACATTGATCTGAAAGAGACCTGTATAGACTACTACGGACTATAAATAACCCTAACCTTGGCTTTATCACCGCCATTCTAACTTTTTTCCATGCTTACACCGCTTACCTGAAGGTGTCAGGGTGTCAGGTAACTAAGCGTGGGACAGTGTTTCTTTCAGATTTTTTTTTCTCCGGGGGGGGCGGTTCGGACATGGGCATAAGTATACATGTTCTATAATTTCTATATAAATTCTATATTGTTCGGGGGGAGAGGGGAAAGGGGTGGACGGTGGACATGCATTTCGTTCGAAGGGGGGGGGGGTAGACTTTCTGCGGGAGTGCCCCCCCCCCCCCCCCCCGAAGATACTTTGGTTGCAACTCATTTTAAGATATTGAATTCATCCAAAAAAAAGCGTTTTTGTAACGCACATGTTTTATTTTCCATTATTCATATTCTGTGTCGTGCTTATATTTGTCTTATACCTTAAGTTTTCGGTTAATGTTACTCTAAGTATTCGTTCTAGTAAAGAATATTAAGTTGAAGCCTCGTTTCCAGCGATACCAGCGAATACACAAACACATTCTTAACAGACGAGCGGTCCGATAAGATCAGTAGTACACTTCACATATGAAGGGGTGGGTGCTGTCACACTCAATGTCCCCCCACTTGTAACCATCCGACGGGTACTCCATCAGCAGGCAGTTCTGGTTGCCGCCCACGTTGTTGGGCTGCCCAGCGTGCCAGCCCCCAGCCCAGTTGATGCCGCGAGCACTTCCGGTGTCCGTCCACACGAATTGGTGTTCGCTGGCGGCGTCACTGCCGCTGGTGTAGAATCCGTGTTGGCCAACAGCGGTCAAGGCTGTCGATAGATAAACGCTTTGTTAGGATTGACGTATTTAATACATTGCATCGATGGTTAAGCCATTTACTCAAATTACTGTGGTTAGTAATGCGTATTTATTGTTATGAGTATCAGTGTTTCTTCCAGGGGAGCACTTGATATTTTCGGGGGGGGGGGGGGGGGGGGGCGGTGAATATTTTACGGGGGGGGGGACACTAGTAAAAGTCTATGTTTACTATATAAAATCCATCTCGTTCGGGAGTGGAGGGGGGGGGCAGTAGACTTTCTTCGGGTGGGGGGGCAGTAGGCTTTCTTCGGGTGGGGGGAGTAGACTTTCTTCGAGGGGGGGGGGGCAGTAGGCTTTCTTCGGGTGGGGGGCAGTAGACTTTCTTTGAGTGGGGGGGCAGTAGACTTTCTTCGAGTGGGGGGGGGGCAAAGCCCCTCGAAGAAATGCCTGGAAGAAACTCTGATTAGTATATGCGCCATATAGGCCGTTGAATTAAATTTAGCCTGCTTTTCTTTCTGGGTTTACCTTCATCCAAGCCTCCTCTGTCCGAGGAATATACTCTGATATAAATCTCTTACAACGTGTCACCAAGTTGACCAAAGATGTTTAATTACCTGGGTTAGTGATGACAAAATGCCTATTTACCTGGATCATTAGTGATGACACAAAGCTAAATTACCTGGATCATTAGTAATGACACAATGCTTAATTAGTTGGATCATTCATCATCATCATCATCACTCCTTTATGGCCCCTGGGGAGCAAAGGGCTGCAACCACACATCTCCAGCGGACTCGGTTCCTCTGATCTGTGCCCATGAGAGCCCAGCTGTTTTTGCCTCTTCCTCAACCGTTCTCTTCCATGTTTTCTTTGGCCGGCCCACCCTTCTTTTCCCCTGGGGATTCCAGTCCAATGCATGTTTTGCGATGTTTTCTTTTTCTTTTCTTAACGTGTGTCCGATCCATCCCCATTTTCGGGCCTTAATATCTTTCTCTATTGGCTGTTGCTTTAAAATTTGCCACAGGTCTTTGTTTGATATTTTGTCTGGCCATCTTATTTTGAGTATATGACGTAGGCATTTGTTTACGAACGCCTGTAGCCTATCAGTATTTGTCTTCGTAACCCTCCAGGTCTCCGAGCCATAGAGTAGCACTGCCTTAACATTTGTGTTGAAAATCCCAATTTTGCTCCGGAGTGACAGGGCCGTGGACCTCCACATCGGGCGCAGTGAGTTGAAGGCACATCTAGCCTTGTTGATAGGACATTTTATGTCCTCGTCTGCTCCCCCGTCCTTATTGATCACGCTTCCCAGATATGTGAATGTGTTTGTTTCTCGTAAATCTTCTCCATTTAGCTGTATCGGCTGGTCCTGGCTGTTATTGATTCTGATGACCAGTAATTGCATTTTACTTAATTACCTGGATCATTAATGATACCAAAATTCTTAATTACCTGGATCATTAGTGATGACATAATGCTTAATTACTTGGCTCATTAGTAATGACACAAAGCTTAATTACCTGAATCATTAGCGATGCCACAATGCTTAATTACCTGGGTCATTAGTGATGACACTGACAAGAAAATCTTGTTCCTGCTGTGTTTCGATGCTGACCAGTCCAGAGTTCGGACCTTCGCGTCGACAGAAGTCATAGGCGGCTTTCCAGGTCATGGGCGTGGCATGGAAGGTGTAGCATGACGTCACGTTGTTGATGGTGTGTTTCACGGAGCTGGCGGGGCATTTGGGGATATCTGTTTGTGGTAGGACATTGAGGTAGGACATTGAGGTAGGACATTGTAGTAGGACATTGTAGTAGGACATTGTAGTAGGACATTGTAGTAGGACATTGTGGGAGGACATTGTGGGAGGACATTGTGGGAGGACATTTAGGTAGGACATTGTGGGGGGACATTGTGGGGGGACATTGTGGGGGGGACATTTCTGAAGGATATTGTGGCAGGACATGTGGAAGGACATTGCGGTATGACATTGAGGTAGGACATTGTGGTAGGACATTGTGGTAGGACATTGAGGTAGGACATTGTAGTAGGACATTGTAGTAGGACATTGTGGTATGACATTGTAGTAGGACATTGAGGTAGGACATTGTAGTAGGACATTGTAGTATGACATTGAGGTAGGACATTGAGGTAGGACATTGAGGTAGGACATTGTGGTAGGACATTGTGGTATGACATTGAGGTAGGACATTGTAATAGGACATTGTAGTATGACATTGAGGTAGGACATTGAGGTAGGACATTGTGGTAGGACATTGTGGTAGGACATTGTGGTATGACATTGAGGTAGGACATTGTAGTAGGACATTGTAGTAGGACATTGTAGTAGGACATTGTAGTAGGACATTGTGGTATGACATTGTAGTAGGACATTGAGGTAGGACATTGTGGTATGACATTGAGGTAGGACATTGTGGTAGGACATTGTAGTAGGACATTGTAGTAGGACAATGTAGTAGGACATTGTAGTAGGACATTGTGGTATGGCATTATGAAGGCCATTCTTCTTTTCTTCTTCTTCGTTCTTAATTTTTAGTGTTGGAGGGGATCGAGCCTTATCTGCCAGAGGGTTTGAAACTCGAGACTCTATCGAATGTAACAACCATGAGCTTTTGCCGACTCGACCACGCCTCCAAGACAAGTATACGTGTCAACTGGTTATTCGCCATCTAGGGCATTGACTCCGATTTCAGCCTGCTTTTCTTTTTGGATTTGCTTCCATAGCCTTTGTCCAACCAAGAACAAACTACAATGCAGCAGTTGTTTAATTTTGGAGTTGTAGGACATTGTTGTAGGACATTGTGAAAGACCATGTACCAGTACATGGTGTTGGGACATTGTAATATGATATTGTGTTTAGACGGGGATTCGCATTCGTGCCCGACCCCCCCCCCCCCCCCTCAATCCCCCGACAGCTTCCCAAATATAATAATGTAAATTAAAAACGCTTCTATAAAAAGACTTGACCCCCGCCCCCGGAAGTGTCCACTTACTTGCGCAGGTTGTATTGTACACGTACACGTCATCGATACCGATATCAGCGGCTGTTTTGTAGTAGTTGTAGTGGTCTGTGGCGTAGTAGTTGTACTCACGGTAGGCGTTGGTGTACGCTACAAAGTCAACCTGTGAACAAATAAATAAAACGTGTACGCAATAAGGTCAAGTTTTCAAATAATGGCACTATGCATCAAAGCTAAATCTAAAAATATACCGGGTATACTTTCAAAGTCAGTTTAAAATCGTCTGAAATGAGCGCTTCAAAGTCAATGAAAGAATTAATCTAAAACATCAGCTTTTCAAGATAAACTTTAACAGAAATAGTGAGGCATAGATTCCTTGTGTTTCGTTTTCATTTTTTTTTTGACAAATACACTCTCGTATAATGTACCCTCTCACACACAGATATAACAATCAAATGACCTTGAAAGGGTTCGCAGTGTACTCGCTGTCAAGGTCAACCTGCCCCAACAGCCAATCAGCCTTCTGGTCGCCTTGCTTTGTCCACACCGGATATCCGGTACCTCCTCCAATCTATAACAGAACATTTTTTTTTTTTATGGTTGTATATACACAGGTCCCGATGCTAATAAACTTGATAAAATCAAAACTGTATAAAATAAATCAACCATATTGTAGAAATTAATCATTAAACTGATTTTAGCAGTGTGTGAACTGAAGTTTTTTGACTAATCAACAAAGGTGTTATCCGGTCTCCTGGGTGAAATGGAAAACGGATACCTCAACTGCCACTGTAATCCTAATCGTTTCTCTCTCCCTACCCCAACGTATCACCGTCACTCCATAGCATTGCCCTGTTGTTAACGCCCCCCACCCCCCCCCCTACCCATTACCTTCGTGTTATCGCCCTTTAATTCAACACCCCTAATATCCTCAGCCTCCACTTTTTCCCTTACCCTCATGTTAACTCCCCTCTACCCTCCACTGTTACCTTTACCCTGATATTAACGCTCCCCACCCCCACCACTGCTACCCTAACTCTCATGTTAACTCTATCCCACCCACCACCTCTCACAACCATTACCCTGGTATTAACCCCCCCCCCCCCCCACACACACACACACACACAACCCTTACCCTGATATTAAGGCCCCCTCTACAAACCTTTCCCTGATATTAACGCCCCCCACCACCACCACAACCCTTATCCTGATATTAAACCCCCACCTACCCCTCCCCCCCCCACACAACCCTTACCCTGATATTAAGGAACCCCACCACCACCCCCAACCCTTACCCTGATATTAAACCCACACCCCCAACCCTTACCCTGATATTAACGCCCCCCCCCCCCACCACCACCCCCAACCCATACCCTGATAATAACCCCCCACCCACAACCTTTACCCTGATATTACCCCCCTACCCCCCACCCCCCACAACCCTTACCCTGATATTGACGTCGAGTCTAACGACGTCGACTCCTCTCATAGAGTACCAGAACATGACGCAGTAGGCGTTGGCCGGCTCGAAGAGCTCACTCTCAATGTACGCCTGACGCAACACGTTGGTTGATGACGCCGCTGTTTCTCTGGATGACTCCACGCTAATGTATGTGCCTGGTACCAGTAGAGTCTTTGTTTTAGTAGAGACGTTGTTTTTAGAAGTGTTATTGTTTTAGTAAAGTCATTGTTTTAGTAGTCATTGTTTTTAGTGGAGTCATTGTTTATAGTAGATTCATTGTTTTTAGTAGTAATTAATGTTTTTGTAGATTCATTGTTTTTTTGTTTTTAGAAGAGTCATGGTTTTTAGAACATACTTTTATGTGTGCAATTGTTCGTTTTTTTTAGGGAGCAAGGGGGGGGGGGTGAAATATACGACTAGTAAATATATTTAGGGACTGGGGGTGGGAGAGTGTGTATAGAATTGAGCTGATAGAATACAAGCTGTGATAGTTAAAACTGGAAATCACGCTCTTTGGTGTGGGGGTGAGGACGGTCGTCCCTTCCATCAACTAGATATCAATACTCGCGCCTATTAGTGGAGGGATGTTAAACAGTACTCAGTCCATTATAAAAATGTTAACATTCTCTTAATTTTAAAATATGTTAATTGTTAGCAACCCATAATGTTGTGGGGATGCGATTCAGTGCTGCTATGATGTGAATGTGAACCCTCACCTGATGGTATGCCAGTGCTGTGGTCAAACCTTGGCCCAGTTTGTGACGAGTGTCCGGCATGCTCCAACGAGAACGAGGCTGTCCCCGTTAGACGCTTGTACCCACAATCCTCCACTGTGTTGAAGCCGCAGTACCACAGGTTGACGTCACCGCTCAAGGACGCTGGAAGCAAGATCAAGGTCATGTTAAAAAAACAAAATTAGGTGAGTCTTGGTAATCCGTATGGGACGACGTGGCCTAGTGGTGGAGCGCTAGACTGCTAACCCGATAGTTTGGAGTTCGTATCCGGGTTCGAGTTAGCGGAACGTCCTTGAGTCTAAAGAGGAATCTTTACTTTGTTTACGTAACTTGGTAATCGGGATTATCTATAGGTTGAGTACACCTTACCTACCATTAATTGTAATACCACGTCATCCACTACAGTAATGTTGTTTTCATTCGTTTTGTTTCCTTGACAACGCACCTAGCCAATAGACGTGTACCTTATAAAGCTCTAACGATTCGACAATCTATCGAGAGTTGTGGATTTATTGGGGGTTATTTATATGGACGGGGTCGTCAATTTGAAAACTTGACCTGTGTCTGCCTTCTGATTTCCGTTTAGAGTCTAGTTTGAATTTAGGTGGGCAGGGGAGTTATTCCTATATATTTGATACGCTAATCGTATCCACACTCACGTTTTACCTGAACTAATGTCTTTAAAATATTGGTGGCGGGACAAAGTAGCTAAGTAGCTAACATAGACAAATGGAGAAGGACAAAGCAGGAGCCCATGATAGTACACATAAGAAGGGGAATGTGGCGCTGCGTGGTAAACACACTGCAAAAGTCTCAATCCAATGTGACATGCCAAGCTCTTGAGTGGAACCCCCAGGGAAAGCGGAAGAGAAGGAATCCAAGGCAGACCTGGAGGCAGAGTCTTCTTGACGAACTGAAAACAGCAGGATGTGTTGGGAGGTTGCAGAATCTACAGTCGGGGACAGGACACATTTGTAAAGAAGATTAAGTCAAGGCATAAACACAAAACGACTTCATAGTCTACTAGACCATGGGATGTTTGCGCATAGGAAATCAAAGCACAAAGCTGGGCCAATAAGATAAGGAGAGCCAGAAGTTACCCATGTATCAGTCAAGTGGAATCAACCCAATGAATTTACATAGGCTTTTCGTATACACATTCACGTTTCACTCTTGCGATTTTTTGCAAATATATTTTTGTCAATCTACAAGCTTTAGTTCAGCTTAGACTTGTTGATTAGTCACTCTCAAAACGTATTTCAATGTTAAAGATTAGAACATGTCACTCACGTAAAAAAAAAAAATTATAACAATTTTATTTAGCGCTGTATCGCAGCATCTCATGACGGGTGCGCGAATAAAAATAAACGAGATTTATTTACAATTTTAGAAATACATTTGTTTATACGCCAAAAAAATAAATGCCCCGGGTGAGGATCGAACTCACGACCTTCAGATTACTCTGCGTATTGGATTATGAGACTGACGCGCTAACCTACTGCGCTACCGAGGCTTGCATCCATTTCACCTCTATTTCAAATAAAAACATGCTTTAGGATTCTTGTTGACACCAATATAATCATTACTAAAACTAGATCTCAATACCACAGACGGTAATATAGTGTGTATTCCGCCTCAGAATACGGTTTAGTTTGGGCTATAAGACGTCTTTTTAACCGTGGAACATTTTCTAAAATAATCATAGTGGAGTTAATGCGCCTAGTGTCGTCTATATTTGTACAGAAAAATATGCATTGGGGGTGTGTGTGTGGGGGGGGGGGGGGTGAGACATTATTGAATACAGTCGGCCGTCTTATGCGAAGAAAAATACCTGTCTTGATTAGCTTTAAACTAGTATATTAATAAGTGAAATGCATGTTCTACGAATCAAACAATATTTTACCTGTCCCCATTTTTTAAATAATATGAAGTACCGTGTCTCCAATATTTCCAGGAAAAGGACAGTAACAGATGCCCCATTCCCCCATATTTTCAGTATACTATTATGTGTCCAAACCCCCCCCCCTCCCCTGATATATTTCCAGGAAGAAGGACAGTACCAGGTGTCACCTTCTCTCACCCCCCCCCCAGAGGCGTAGCGACCCTTCCCGGCGCCCGGGGCGAACTTTCAATTTGGCGCCCCCCCCCCCCCCGCTTATATATATATATATATATATATATATATATATATATATATATATATATATATATAATATATATATATATATAAATACATGTGTGTGTGTGTATAATTATGTGTGTGTGATAGTGTGTTTATATATGAGCTTGTGTGTGGGGTAAGAGTGTATTTGTGTGTGTAAGCGTGTGTGTAAGCGTGTATGCTACAGTCCGGACAAGGTTTAATAATTACATTGTATGATTTTCATTCCTTAAAACTTTACGACAATTTAATTCCCATTAAGATGCGTTTAACTTTTTTGCGAAAGATTAGTAATGTCAGAAAAAAAAATAAGCCTGATCTGTGTTAGAGGGTAGTTTGTAGCTAACGCTAATATGTTTAGACCAGCCTTTTATGTTCTAGTTTTGGAACGATCTCTGTTGTGATATGGTACATAATTGGATTCGAAGTTTGTTAGAGTAAGGACACACAAGTCACATACAAGAAGAAGTTATCAGAAATATTTATTGTTCACATTGGAATACGACATGGGTATTTCGTTGATTGGTTGATGGTATGACAAAACAAGCTAGAGAAAACAAACTGGAATCCAACGGATGTTAACAGCTCGTAGTCTTGGATTTCGCAGATTTGCCCTGCCTTCTCGCACACAGAGTTTCTTCCAGGCATCTCTTCGGGGGGAGGGGGGGGGGGGGTCGAAGCCCCCCGAAAAATTTTACCGCCCCCCCGAACGAAATGAAATTTATATAATTTATACATAGAAAATATATACGTTTAACAGTGTCCGCCCCCCCCCCCCCCGAAGAAAGTCTACCGCCCCCCCCCCCCCGAAAAATTTCAAGTGCCCCCCCCCCGGAGAAAAAAGTCTGGAAGAAACACTGCTCGCACAACGTCAACAACAAATGCAGAACTAATTGTATTGATTGAAGAAGCAGTAACAATCAATTTAATGATAGCCCATGACGTTCTGATTATAATCAGCAGCAATAAAACGCGTTTTAACACTCTAAGAAAATGTAGAATTCAAATGCATTGTCAAAAAAAATTCAATCAGGATCTATAACTAAATGTGGTCTCTTTTACTGTATGGCTTGGAGCTAGATTACAGACAGTGGAGAATGAAATAAGAGCATGGAAAAAAGTGGTGGTTAGTGGCTTAGGGATTCAAGAATCCGTGATATTTAGTTCTCTTTAATATAGTTCAGTGATCCAGGTAAGATGTAATGCAATCAATCAAAAGTATCTGATCTCTCACGTTGAAGTTGAGAAAATCGTAAGAATCTTACAAAGAACTAGTCGCGTCTTTTTTTTTTAACAAAACTGGCTATTGAAATTGTATATTACGCGTTAATTACACTTGGTTTCTTTACTAAGTGTTAAGAGAGCTATCTGCTCACCAATCCAGTACAAATACTTGCGATTTTTGTTAGCGAAAAAAAGCGCCCCCCACCCTCACACACACTCATCACAACCATCTTGGACAAAGTTTGTAGAGCGGTTTTTAACGTATAAAACGTTTTTTAAAAAATGTTACACAATTATACAATGCACAGTACAATTCGATTCTTTCTGAGAGCTAAAGGTTGTTTACTCAGAATAA